GGGCTCCGAACATTTCGAACGGATAGGCTACCACACACACACACAACAACAACAAAAATAACAACAACAACAATGCAACTAGATCTACCTTCGGTTGGGACCTCAGAAAGGAAGGGTTTGTTTTCTCAGATAGGAATGGTTTGTTTTCTTCATCTTGATCAGTTCTGCCTAAGACGGCCACCTGTCTTATACGGCCACTTTTCTCCTTGACAATGGGTGGCCGTCTTACACAGGTTCGACTGTATTTGAACCTGAATAATTACTAGATCTAGATCTAATGAGACCTGTTTACTTAACAGGCTTGAGTCGATTGGGCCAAACCTAGATATAAGTACGGCTAGACTGGCAGTCTATTGGGCCAAACCTAGATATAAGTACGGCTAGCCACTTCGTAATTATTTTTACATTTTGAACCCTAAGTTTAATCTTATTTAATCTTGCGCGGCAGCACATTTTAAAGCACGTCTCCCCCAAATCTGACCGCGATCGCACAGAAGATATAAAAGCAGCACTTGACTTCTCGACTGAGTCTCCAAGCCATCGTCCAAATTTTGTAAAATTTTACCCAACGATTTGTTTCATGATCGGTAGATCATCCAGTTTTTGTTATTAAAATTATCGTTGTACTAGATCTAGATCTAGATCTCTAGAGTCATCTAGTCTAGATCTAGATTTTAATTTTACTGGAGCCTGAAGAATGATACAACAAAAGTAAAAGTGTAGGCCTACAGCCCACGAACACGAGACAAAACTGTGTACTTGAACTCAAATTGAACTGTACTGAACTGACTCGAATCTTGCTTGGTTGTTGGTTTTGCTAGATCTACTGAGGGCTAACTTAGTTTGTCTTGAGTCCGTTGTATCCAGTGCCCGAAGGCGACCTGTCACCTGTGATAATAAAATAATGTAGCATAAACAGGGTGCTTTAAAAAAGTGTCAACAACGAATGCTTAAAATGCTTAGAGTTGCCAGTTGGCTGTAATAATTATAATTATAATAGATTTTAGATTCTACACCTTCTATTCTATAGTAAAACAAACAGCGTCACCTCATCTAAATTGCTATTTCAAAATAGGTCTGTGCAGAAAGACAGCAATCTTGTTTATGAGATAGGGAAATCAACGACCTTTACTTTGACATCGTATTGGACAACAACTCTTGTTTTGCAACAGCAACACACCATAATATTTGACCCGTTTCTTAAGATTCTACGCAGTTGGCAGTTATCATTTTTACATGCACCTACACATCAGAGACACGCTGAGCTCTGTTATTAGCCACTGTACTATAGTCCAACAAAAAATTTAAAAGATATGTGTGTGTGTGTGTGTGTGTGTGCAT